TATCATTTTAATTAAGTTTAATAATTAATTTTTTTCAAAAATTTGATTGAATTTTAACTCCTCGATAGAAGTTATCAATCAGTTTTTTAGAAATTAATAGGATTTCAATGATTTAACGGAGCTGTAGCATTTGTTAAATCTGAATTTGTAGGATTTACTAAATCTGCATATGTTAAAGCTCTTCTTATGTCAGATAACACCTAAACTTTAAAAAAAACTCAGCAAAAGAAATTAATTTTTTATTTTTTTTGTAGAGAAATACAGGGGCGGCTCCAGAATTCGTATAATGTGTTGGATGGAAGTTACATGTGATGTCCTAGGGTCATTGGTGCATGAAGCTACCAGTTGTGAAATTTGGCATGTGATGTCCCTCAAACGCTTTGTCATACTAGTGGATCAACTTCTTTAGTTCGAGCTAGGGCCTTCGTGAGAGTTAATTGTTTGTTTGGCATCCAAGCTCTCAACTATGCCTGCAAACTTTTGCTCACTAGGGGTTCATGCATTATTCTTTGTTGCCACGACTCCATCAAACATAAGGTCCAACTTTTCTTCCAGCTCGAGGTCAACACAATTGAATTTGAATTTTTTTGCAGTTGACACCACCTACAAAATAAAGGGATATGGATATGTTAATATATTTCAGGAAAAAAAATATCATATTATGAAGGTTTGATCTATCTTCACCTCCAATCTTTCAGCCAATCTTTCTTCCGAAGTATTTATCATCCACTTTATCGGATCCCAACATAAGCCCGTGGATCTTCATTTTAATTCCTTCCAAAAATTTCAGTCTTTTTTTAATTGATTCCGCTTATTTTTTAATTGCATTATATTATATTCTCTTTCCACAGTTTCCTTAAACATTTTCATAATATTTTTCCATTTCTTCTTGTTAAAATAGGTTGTGGGTCAATTTCCTAGTTTCACCCCCTTAAGCGAGAGATAGCAAAATATTAGTTTGACTTCTTTATCCTACAGAGTATATGAATCAAGTTCTTTTGTCTTAATCATTTCGTTACTAGCATAGGAAGAGTCAAACAACAAAAAAAAATTACCACAACTCAAACTAAAATAAGATTGTCATATTTTAGTCATCAATACCACCTCTACACAACACACATTACCACCCTCACACTACACACTACCACCTCCACACCATATTCATACACCAAACTACCACCCCCACTGCACACACCATCACCTCCTCATCACATCCATACACCAAACCACCATCCCCACAACACACAAAACCGCCTCCACACCACACACCAACACCTCCACACAACACACCACAATACTATATGTCACATCCAGACACCATACCACCACCCCCACACGAAACAACTCCACATCACTCCACCAACTCCACACCAACCAAAGAGTGGGATTAGATTTTGAAAGCCCATGAGAAACACTAAAATCAAAATACAAATAAGAGAGAGCTCACCATGTCACATGAGCTTCTTAATTATGGAGTCCAATAACCATGAAATATAAACCGCTAAATATACTTTTATTCATTCATGAAATCAAAGGGCAAATCATTGTTATTCCACAACAACATACAACAAAATATGCACAGAACCCAAAGTTAGTTATGAAATATACCAACCCTCTTCCATTCTTACATGAAAATAAAATATACATTAGCACCCGAAACAATATTGTTAACAAATGCTAAACCACCTTGAATCATTTTTCAAATTCTTACTAAAAAATTGAAATTTATGATAAATTCCCGATCCATATTCGTGATATGCACTGCACCTAAAACATTGATGTTAACAAATGCTAAACCATCCTGCAAGCACTCTTCAAATTTTCACTCAAAAATTAAAATTCATGATAAATTCTCAATCCATATTCACAATATACACAACACCTAAAACATTGAAGTTTATAAACGCAAAAGTAGCTATCAACCATTTCTCAACGTCTCACTCAAATTTCAAAAGGTTTGATCAAATTTCAATCCATATTAATAAAATATAAAGCAGCTGTAAGATTACTGTTCAGACCTCCAACACCAAATTGCATGCATACATTTAAATATCACAAAACAAAGGAGGAAGAAGGAACAAAAATGTCAAAAACCTTTGAGGTGATAGGTATATACCAATAAAATAAAAACCAACATAGTAGAACCGATGCTACGTATGTATCAACCAAAGACCACAAATCGATCATACCAAAACCAGCTGAAATCATTAAGCACAAAGAAAAAAATGGGGTTGCGGCCGCTGAAAATAGAGAAAAAGGATCATCCGTGCTATGTATGTAAAAATATATATAAAAAAATTCTCGGTGCAAATCATACGACTAGTAGAGCTATTCCACGAAAAAAAAATATGAGAGAGGATACTGGAGGAAGAAAGAAGCAAAAGCCGGCAAAAATCATAGACGGAGTGCTTGTGGAATGAGGCCGAGCGGGAGGGACAGAACGGGGGTAAAGCTGCCAAGTAATGCAGAAAAAGCAGAGTCGGGTGCACGGTGAGGCTTATCAGGCATGTTTAATTAAATGCGCCCGCACCGCCCCAACCAAACAACGCGAATTGCTGCAGCGAGCTACGCCGCAGAGATAAAACTGCGCCAAAGAGGCCCTTACTACTCAAGAAGATCTGGTAGAGAAGCTGATGGTGACACGCTCATTCAACATTTTTCTTGGTAATGTTTTCACTATGCAAGCAGTTCGCATGGTTCCTTGTATGAGCATTCATTATTTTAATATATGGCGGGCTTATGTAATGTCTATATTGAGATGGAAAATGATGCTGCTATTAAGTATAGCTTCCAGGATACATATATTTTGCTCACAGGGATTTTGACTATTTTTAAAATATTTTTAGCCAGAGTGCTATATCCAGAATTTTGCACGGTACCGATCTCTTTCAACAATAACAACAACAAAACCTTTATCCCTTTAAGCGGGGTCGGCTACAATCTCTTGCAAAAATAACTTTTTTTCTTTTTCTTTTTGTTGATTTTAATGTGTTCGCCAAATCCATAAGACAATAAATCTGGCACGAAACAGAGTGGTAATGCATGGAAATAGAGAATCTTAACAATTTTCATTTAGTTTGTCTTTCTGGCTCAAGTATGTAGCAGTGACCTTTGACTGTGTTTTATTATTTTTGGAATATATATAGGGAAATCGGTATTTGACAGAAATCCAAATACCGAATATATATA